AGAAAGAAACGTTGGTGAGGAGATGTAAATATTCAAAAAGCTTCTAATTTAGCAACAGCGAAAAATACCACGCAAGGAGTTAAGGGATTTGATCAAACTTAAGAAATTTAAATGAAACAAATTTTGATTGGAGAAATGTTATCTTTGAAATAGCTGATTAATCAAATATATAAATATTTCATTTTTTCACTGGAGGATATGATGCTTCCTCTAGGATTTCATATCTATTTCTTTTTCTTTCTTATACAAGGAATTTTAAAACAATAGATAATTTACTTTCTCGTGAAATTCAGCCTTTTAAAACTCTTTTGGGGATGAAATCTCGAATTCACTTATTTTTTATACGTATTTCTCCTTAATTGAACACTTCTCTAATTAAGCCATTAAATGATTATTAAACTAGCTTGGGTTTGCATACTAGAGTTTTCCAAACATCTATTCACAACAAATATCACGATATATCTATATCTAACAGTTGTACAAATTGTGCAACGATCAAACTATAACGTTGACTTGACAAATGTCACAGATTATCATCGATGAAACTACATAAGTCTGATAAGTCTAATTGCTGTCTCTTTCCACTCTTCTCCTTCGACAGGATATTCTTCAAGAAGAGAAGAATCCCTTCGTTCTTTCACTCTCTGTTTGATCTTGTTCCTTCGTTTCTTGCTAATCGAAGGAATCACGGGGCTCGTTCGTCATTTGACTCTGATTGAGAACATATCAGTCGTGTCCTTTGTTATCTTGATGCGCGTCATTTGTATCAAGAACGAATGATCCTTAGCACGGATGATTGGATTAAACCCTCCTCCTGGGAACGATTATAACGTTAAAAAGCTCGTGGCTCATCGATAATGCACTCTATCATTGACACGGTGTACAGTAGCGTGTGATTCGACTTATGATTTCAAAAGATGTGATCCTGTGAGATGCTGTGCCTAGAATCTTCACATTTAAACTGTTCCACGCTGTCTTAATTTCGTTTTTTTTTTTTTTCTATTAAATATTAATTCGTTGATATACTTTTCACTTTATGAATCTGGTTCTCTCCTTGAAGAAGAAACAGCTTCTCGAAGCTAAAACAAAGGTGAAAATTGAATTGGGATGTTCACTGTTCGCGTACACCGAGCGTCTCTTTGAATAATTATCTCCGTTTATGTCAGGAACAGAGAATAACCGGCAATTGTATCGTGTCCGGCTCTCGAACACCTCTGGCGACGGCGTCGCGACGCCAACTGACTAAGCGAGACTAGTGCCGAGCATGGAGACGTTTTGAAACAGGCGCTACATTTTACAGGGCCGTATTGACCATTTAAAAATTTATCAAGCTTATGTAATTCAAATTACACGATGCATGAAGAAATTTGTAACACGGTGAACAAGTATTAATACAATTATAGTTAAAGAATTTTATCTTGAATATATTGAAATCTTGCATTTTTAAAAATATGAAAATTTTATTATATATTAAAAAATCTTGTTTTAATTTCAAATTGCGAATGAGTTTATCAAAAATTATCAAATCTCGTTTATCTCGTTTAATTTATTTATTTATTTCATTAAATTTTTACGTGTAATTAATCATAGCAACGTCAAGAAGTAATACATATCGATATCTATTTTTATGTATGTCTGAAAAAAAATACTCTGAAAAATTTTTAATAATACTCATATATAATTCTTTTTATAAGATCTAAATCTCATTCAATAGATTAATATTATTCTTTTTCTTACTTTTCTAAATACTTTTTTCCAAATATCCAAAATATCTTTATTCTTCCTTTCCTTTAAAGAAATGAAGATTTCTTTTTATTGTTCCATGCAGAGCGATCTCAAAGTAGGTCACCTATATCGATTACGCGCGTTCGAGGGAATTTTTAAAATCATAAACGTTCGAAATGAACATCTACACTTGTTCAGAAAACGAGCTACGAAATCGTACATAAAATCGTTTATAACCATTATGCTTAAAGTCAATTTGTCCAAATAGAAATCTATAAAAAGTGATTCCCGTAAATTTGTTTTTTAAACTTGATGCCTCGTTCTACTGCGCAAAAACGACGATGAAATGCGAATTTCGTAACGATATGCTGCGATACTGTTAAAAGACAGCTGAAGACACAACCATCCACGCGTTTCTGTGTATTTAGATAAGTTGAAAGGAAATTAAGAAAATAGTACATTTGTCAATAAATTTTGCATTTCATGACATCGATTTGAATTTAATGAATAAATGAAGTTTAACAATTCGAAAAAAATAAAACTAAAATATAATTTGAAATATATATAAAATAATATAATTGCAATGATAAAATTTATTTTTGACATAAATTGTAAAAAGATTGTTTTCTAAAAAGATTATGCGATATAATTTTAGTAAGCACAATCATAAGATAAAATGATAAATGATAATTATATATAAAGATAGGAAAAAAAAATAAATAAATAAATCGTAATGTTTTGGGAAAAACGATATATATAAATTTTTAAATCGAGAATAATTTTCGATAGCTTAATAATGATTCGTTGAGACTTTTTACAAATATGTTTTTGGTGAAAAAATATATACCTATAAATAATATATTGATCAGAAAATATTACATCTACAGGTAAGATCATGTATCGGTAAAGAAAGGAAAAGAGTATTCCTCCTCCTGTATTATTCTACCACAGATATGAAATTTTTCATCATTATGCGTATACAGAATTCGTTAATATATTCGTAAAATTTAGATCGATTTTAGAAATTAAAACAAATGCAAAAGTTGCTATACAAAAAATATCTATTAAAACTTATTTATATACAATTTAAATTTATTTTAAATATAGTAAGGAGACAGAAGGCAATATGATAAAGATAAATTTCTCATTTTATCTTTTTTTCGTTTCATCTAATATAAATTTAAATTGCATATATTATAAGTTAATAAATAAATATCAAAAAATATTTTTATATAACAATGTTTTGGTTTTAACCAAAATTAACTATTGGTATAATAAAAAAATTGAATAATTATTTAAAATTAAATTATAATTATTAGGAAAATTTTCAAATTAACAATTAATTGAACTAATTAATTAAATTAAAATCTTCCATTTATTGTTTTTTTGTTCAACATTTGAAAGAATCAATAAGCAAAAAAAAATTAATTTTTTAAAAAGATCTATCTTTTGAAATTTATCATAAAAAATTTACTGTCATGAATTGAAATACATGATATTGCAGAAATATCTACATGTGCACATATGCTGTGTAATCTCCTTTTATAGAAAATTGACTCATTTGATCCAATATCCTTCTAAAAAAATATTTTGCATACCTTGTCAATATTTTAATATGTCTTTATCTAAAGAAACTTCGATTACAAATAAATTTGTTAATATTAATAATCTTCGCTATATTATTACATGATATTCAACTAAAAAAAAATAATTAAAACAATATCTTAATATTAAAAAACCTTATTATTGAGAAAATTTTAAAATTATTTTAAAATTAAAAATATTACTTATCTTTGAATATTAAATAAAAAAACAAGATATATATATAAATCGGAAAAATGTGGAAATTTGCCAAATAACTTAAAATATTTTGAAGGCGATTCTCAATATGAATTTTATCGATGAAGATTGGAAATTACTAACAAATATTAGAAAATTTAATTAATTATAAACCAACAATCAATTTTTTTATGATATATACAGGACGATTATATGTAATAGATAGAAACTTCAAATATTTTTGTCGGTTTGGAAATTCAGTCACTCCATCTTACGTTAAATTGTTCAATTACTCATGAATGTAAACTCTGAAGTCAGATTTCCACGTCAACGCCAGTTACATTCTTCATATACAAAAAAATATTTTTATATTCGAATATTTATGTTTACTGAATGTAAAAATATAATTATTTAATATTTTAATATTATTTATTATTTTTATTATTTTTCAATAAGTAATTTCATCAAAAAATAATATGCTTATTTTTATAAAAAATTAAATTACAAAAATTATTTAAAATAAAATGAAAATAAAATATCTAAATATTTTAAAATTATTTCTATAAATTTTATATTTAAGAATATAAATTGATAAGAAAATATAAATACTAATTTTCAAGTTTCGCATGTAAAGAACGAAAAAACCAATAGAAAGTAACGACAGTAAGTTATGGGCCAATAAGATTGCACGGTGTAACGGCTATTAGCGTTTCTGAAGCGTCACCGGGGGCTGACCTTGGCGGCGCTTGGCTGCATTCACGGAAGGCGCCCGAAAACGCGTCGGAAAAAGGCATCGGGGGCAGCGCGCGTTCGTGTCGCCCATTGTTATCCTCGTCGCGTGTAATGGCTACCGTAGAGTTTGTTGACGG